ATTTGGGATTATCTATCATCGTTTCTATAAAATCGAAATATGAGTATTATTTCAATATACAGGGTAATAGTGAAGGGGGTAATTCCTTGTGATAGTTTAGAAAATAAAGTTCATATAAACATGTGTCCTAACTTGCTTCGTTTTAGAGATACAGGGTATTGATATTTGAATGTCTTAATTCTTTCCAATTCCTATCAAACTTGGTAGTTCCGTTGAATGTAACATGGAGCTCCTTTTGATGTGATTGAATTCAGAATAATATTTTCAGTGGCGTCCAAGAGCGTCGCCAGCGGAAAAAATAGGGGGGGGGGGCACCATAAAAAAACTTAAGAGAAAAATCAAATAGAAAGAGTTTAATGAGAAAATCGAAAAACAGAAAAAAATCTATACAGTAAATCAGTTGAAAAATAATCTTCTAGGGTTCTTTGGAAATTCGTTGGTCACTTTTTGACGAAATCGTTCAAGTTTTTGAAAATATGTTGCCTGTGTATACTCATCATTGCGAGGCCATTGAGTCGAGCATCATACATGGTGCTCCTCAACCAGGTTTTGATTCTCCTAAGGCTACTAAATGACCTTTCAACTGTACAAATCTTACAAGGTAAAGGCAACAAGGATCTTCAGAGCCTTCCCAACTTCAGGAGAAAAATATACTTTCGGAAGTTCTTTGCTCAAAGTGAGCGTTATCATAAGTAATATCACGATATTCTCAATATTCGAGATAATTCTGTCGCCTCATTGTTCACGAAATTGTGTTGCTGAGCAACACCACGAGTCAGGACGAAAGGTAGGGCTGTACGGCAACACAATAGATTTGACAAGGAAATGAAGAATTATGAGAATATATTCAGAACACAGTGGAGACTATTTCACGTTCACAAAGCAAAGAAGCATTTATTTCGAATGAAGGATTCATTCTGACAAGTACAGTCATTATTTTTTGCCTAATTGACAGACTTCGCTTCGCTACCCATGGTTACATCATTGAAAACATCTAGTTTTCGCGATGAGCACACGTTTTCTCTGATGGCGAAACATTCATTGAGATTATTCAATGACCTCGTTAAAAATCATCTTGAAATTCTGGGAATTTTTTATTCTTCAACCATACTGAATTTTGGCACCAGGAAAGCTTATACAGGGGCGTTATATATAAAAACAATTGATACTTCCAACTTCAACATCCTGTATATCAAAAACGAAGCAAGTTGGGACACATGTTTGAATGAACTTTATTTCCTCAAGTACCACAAGGAATTATCCCCTGAAATTTGTCGCAGTTCTGCACTAATCAGATTGTCTGCCCCAAAATGTCACTGCGTTTAACAAATTTTTCTATCAGAGAGCCTAAAAGAAAAACCCAATAGCTTGTCAGTGACACTTCGTTTGGAAAAATGTTCGAGGAAGAGTAATATAGATATATTAAAAATATATCGAATTTTTATTTATTTTATTTATTTATAAATCTATTTACATCCTACCTTGCAGGTCGCCAGCAACGTGTTGAATTCAACGACGATATATCAAAATCTTTGAAAGTCAATTATGGAGTACCACAAGGTTCGGTCCTTGGTCCTGTATTATTAATTATTTATATTAATGATATGCCTTTCAACCTAACGAATGTGTCTCCGGTAATGTATGCTGATGATGCCACTTTTCTCTTATGTGACACTTCGCCTTCCAATTTACTCTCCAACGCTAACTAATCTGAAAGTTTCATAACAAACTGGTCTAGAAGCAACTATCCCACTTTGAATGATAATAAAACCAGAACTTTAGATTTCTCAACAAAAGATAATATAAAAAATTTTGAACCAGTCAAGCTTCTTGGAGTGTATTTGGACTCATCTTTAAATTTCTTACCTCATATTCAAAAATTATCGAAGCGCCTATCAACGTGTTAATATGTAATAAGACAACTTAGCAAAATAATAACAACAGACTGTTTGAGAGTAGCTTATTTTGGCATTTTCCACAGCATAATGACATACGGACTGATAGTATGGGGTTCATCATGTCATTCAAATATAATATTCAAATTACAAAAAAAAGTCGCCAGAATTATGGCACAGGCCAAATATGATGACCATTGTAAACCTTTTTTCAAAAATCTCCACATCTTGACTCTGCGATCTTGCTTCATATATGAATGTTTGTGTTATACCAAAAAATTGAGAGGTGATAATAGAGTTACCAGGCAGGAGGACATACACCACCATGATACCAGGACCAAAACAAATTTTAGACTACCCAAATATAGGTTGAGTAAATCGCAAAACTCTTATTTATATTTATCTTTAAAAATTTTTAATGTGTTACCTAATGAGTTTCCAAGCACCGAGCACATAGTGCGTTAGCGAAAGACGATTTCTGGCATTCTCTAGACAAATTGAGGAATAATGAGGTGGGGTTTTGCATAAGCGCATGCGCTCTTCAACAAAACTAAAGGGCTATATCAATTAGGGGTTCGCGGAAAAAAAATTGTTGCATCAACAAAATAATTTCGGAATTTTTTTTTGTTAAATTAATTCATTATAATTAAACACAATTTTGCGATGTCAATAAAATATAGGTTCATTACAAATAAGCGATTTATTCAAAAAGACAAAATTATTTTATTGAAATATTTGCTTAACTTGAACAAAATCTCCATTTCATTCAACAACATTTATAGTTGATATAAAACATATTTTGTTGATCCACCTATCATCTCATTGTTCAATCAATCATATGCATATTTTCTATTTGACAAAATCAAATTGATTTTGACAAAGATTCAACTAAGTACAACATCTCATTTTGTTGATTCAACAATAATTTCATTGTGCAACCAATCAGAGGTTTTTCTCTTTTCGAAAAAGTGAATTGATTATGACAACATTATATTTTGTTTATTCAACACATCATTATCAAGAAATATGTTGTTATTTCAAACCTATTAATTTGTTGAACAGAACCCACAGATACATTACCTATATCAAACGAATATATTCTTACGATCGCCTCGATCGGGTTGTACATATACCTACCTACAATGGAAAAAAAAATGAGTGAAATTTCAGCCAAGGTCCACGCAATAATGACTGTGTCAATTTCGGTCCACGCCCGATTGAGTTGAAATATTATATATTATATATATTTGTTGTAAACATTCTCATCGATGGAGAAACTTGATAAAATATTTAGTTTGAGTTGAGAGTTTACTCAGAAATTTCAATCAGTAAATTCACTCACAGCCACATACCTATGCAGTCACTCAAATAAATGTTCTACAGTGTAGAACATCCGTTAATATAATTATATTAAGCTGTCCTAGAATTCCTCACGACACTTATACAATGTAATAGTCTTGATTCTACTGAGGAAATCGATCTCTATATAATTTCTTTTAGTTTTCAAATTCAGTTATAGGATTTTCAATCAATAGAATCTGTTCATTAGAGCAGATATTGTATTATAGGGACAAAATAGTCTTTGTTTATTCAACCCATTCCTGCTGTTAATCCAAATCATTAATGAGTTACATCAAATGAATTTTAAATTGAGAACTGACAAAAAACTTTGTTGCGGTGACAAAATATTTGGTCGTGGATATGTGTTAGCAGATTCATATTCACCACTGCAAAGTTAATAATTCGAGGAAAAATAATCATAGTCCAACAGAACAACCTATAAGTATCGAATTCCTAGGAACACGATTCAATAGTGGTTTCAAATGCATCGACCAAGTGAATTTGCAGAATAAATTGAAATAATTGAACGAATGATATGGGTGAGATGGGAACAGCTAAATAATTCGATTCGTATTTGTGGTTTCAGTGTTGATAATTATCTATATGGCAGCATTGAATCCATAGAAATGCTATCAATAATAAGGTATAAGCAAAGTACTTGATTTGGTCGATTATTCTCAGTGTATCTTCCGATTATTTTCATAACCTACTTCGCGTAGTCTTTTGATATCATGATCTACCCTGTTACTACGCCCCTGTATCCCGGATTTTCCGGGTAAAATTCCACCGACATCGACCGAACTAACTGAAATATACCCCGGAGCGTCGTGAATTATGTGGACACGATAATTTATACCTTGCTGTTAATGAAGGTGGTAAATGCCGCTATTCGTTTGTTCCTATTAATTTTACATCAGGAAGGCTATTCGTTTCGTGTGATAACTTTTTGTCGCGCTTATCTCGCCGGGATTTATCTGAAAAATTGAGTATCGTTTGTTCTCGTACTTGCTGACGTTTGCATTTGTTTTTGTCTCTTGTGAGTTATGCTTCTCTTGTCAGGAGAACATTTTTCAAGAATAAAGCTCCTTTGAGAAGAATAAAAGATGTCCCAAAATGTGAGGAGATAGATATAAATTTACCTAATGGAAATTACGAATTAATTTCACAACATTATCGCAAACTGATGATATTCCAGAAGTTGCTGAATGAATAAAAAAAATTGAATTAAGATTGTTGGTTTTACCGAGGGTTTTACCATCATTTTTTCACAAAGTTGATATTTTGTGATCAAATATTTGAATGACATATAGACAAAGAAGCTGGGATTGTTGGAGATAGGTATTCTAGTATTTTTATAGTTTCAGTTCCCAAAGGTCAATGAATCTATTTCTAATATCGAAATCACTAACAGATAACAGCTGAGATCCTTTTATAACTTCCATTGCACTCTGAAGAGTGGTTGATTTTCAAAGGAATCACACGGAAAAAAATCATCTGGTTAGTATAGGCACAACCAGATATCTTGTGACACTAACCATTTTATATATTGTTACTATAGCCAGATTATCGTTATAGTTACCATTTGATATGGTGACAGCAACAATGTGTATCTGGTTGTGCCTATATTAACCAGAATATTGTCACAGTAACAAATTTTTTTTACCGTGCAGGTTTCATCAGTCTTCTATGCAATATATACACTTTCAATTAACCCCAGCATCCCACTTGTCCTGAATGCATTATTGAAGATATTTTTATTTTCAGATCAACTGTTGGAAGAGCACATTTCGAAAAGCAACCACCTAGCAATCTACGAAAATCGAATTTCTTTCATTTCGTCATCGCCTTATACGACAGAGCTGGCCAGCCAGTTGAAATTGAACGAACAGCGTTCATTGGATTCATCGAAAAGGATCAAGTTAGTATGTTTATCTACTCCTATTATATTATAATTTTCCTACTGCTTTTGAGCAATCAATAGTATCTGTGAACAAACAACGTGAGTTATAAGAAACGATTCTTGGAATTATTTAGGAATCGAATATCCTCAAGATTCTGTACTTCTTTACATACAAGCCGGTACCAAATACATCAACAAAAACTGCCAGAACATTCAATGTTACGGGAAATGTTCATACATTGGATATAATAGTTATTTTTGTATCTAGAGCGCGAAATGCCACTTTGGTGATCAAGATCTGATTTTTTCAACGAGGCGTAGCAGAGTTACAAAAATATATAGTCGAGATGACCAAAGTATTTCGCGCTCGAGTTGCAAACAAAATTTTTTCTACAAACGTCAAAAAATATAGTTCTAAAGTAGAAATATGCTTAGCATGATATAAAAAATAGTGTTGAACTGGGTTAAAATTTCCTTTCGTGCGCCCCAAGAGAAAAAACAAATAAGGTATTGTCGAACATTCAGAAATGTATGATTTCGTAGATGTTTGCTCGATTGAGGACCATAAAGTAGAAATAAAAATATCTCATATATTTTACATAACAATGCGCAAAGTAGGTACTTCGCGCATTGTTTTGTGCAAGGTATCATGGTAACGCATAGGAAACTGAAAAAAAGTGTCACCTCGCAATTTGTTATCAATGCGCGAACCTTGTCATTTTTTGACGTTTGTAGAGAAAATATTTGAATCTCCATATCCTATCGATATATCACAAGCGATATTATTTAAATTCCAAAATGGAAAATATCACTCACGAAAATTGGCATCAACAAATTTGGAGCAACTCTATTAGTATAGATTCTGATGGAGAAGATATAACGGTACTGTAACTCCATGAGGGTTATAGAGCTCAACTACTGTAGCTGAGTGGTACGATGATTATTCCGAAAAGAAAAGATACTGCAAATAAAATATACAGTTCTATAACACCTGAACCAGTTGCTACATCGACTATATATAGGCAGCAAACACAAAAAGAAACTTCCCACATATTAAGTTTACTGATTGTTCAAATATAACAACAGTTAATTCAGACAACAAACAAAATTGGTGATTCAATTTGAATTTGTATAGCATCATTGAAGGTAACTATTATGATTTGTGAATGGAATTCCTCCTCTTCATACTTGTATTTTAGTATTCATATTGTTTTAGTCGTAGATAAAGTGTAATATTCCACTCACGGTGAAGTTTCCTACAGGAGAAGCAACATTGAATTGATGAAATTATATTGTCCAACCATAGCTCTGGAACCTATCAATACTAACTCTTCTTCAAGTCGTGAATTGGTATTTCTTTACCAATTAATACTGTCGGCTAATTGTTTTCTTGTGTACACTATTTTTCACTGTGACTGGAAAAAGGACGAATCGAAATTGAAAAGACATCATATTATATTAAAATCAAAAAATTTTTTACGTGAAATTCGAAGTTTTCAACAGGCATTACACCTGCGTGCAGGCATCTTTTTGAAGGCATCTTCATCATTTTTCTGAAGTAATCAAATATCTGTCAGTCTGATAATATAATTTGATTTCAAAAATGGCAAGCTTTGTGGTTTTTTAGTAACATACGTAACCAGCAAATGGTATACGGAAGATGAAAGTGTTTTTTCTCGGAGACTGTGCTATATGCTGAATTTTCTGACCAAGCACAACAAAAGCCATCAATAGTGTATTTTCATGTATATACGGCAAAACATTACTATTTTTTTTCCCACCAGTAATGAGTAATTTATGAAAAGTGACATTTTATAACCTGTCAACAGAAATGTCAAACATTTTTTCCGTCACAGTAAAAAGTCATATCAATGGTGCACCCCACAATGATTTTTCTCAAGAGGAAAAATGAAACTTTTGAATATATAAAAAGGTCAATAGGTGGCATAGCATAGGTGATGACTTAAATAATTTTCAGGTATACAACTTCATATAGTACGATTATAAAATGGCGGAGTTTAAAATGAACTGAATTACGTAAATAACATTCTACTTCGCTGTGTGTTTTGTGTACGAAAATCCTAAGGTGCCTGTTGTGGGTCTCAATCACCTGAAACAATTAGAATAATGTATCATCGTACGATAAGATTTTCAGCAAACTTGAATAATGAAAATAATTCAGTAAATACTGAATACTAGAACTATTTTAGTCATATTCGGGCTTATTCCTATCCACTTTCCTTATTCATTGTCCCACCAGTCACCTCTGACTAATGATCTCTCCGTTCTGGAAATGAAATAATCAAAAGTGGGACGTCATGTAGCCTTTCACACAAATTAACAACATTACTTAGAGGCGCTAGGTAAACAACGCATGCTGCAAATTACACCGCATGATTAAAGTTGTCTATGTGTACTCCATCGATATTAGGATTGGATTATATTTTCAAGAAGTTTCTGTTGCTTATTATCGACATGATATAATGAAGCCATTGATGATAATATGAGTATGTCATTGTTCTCAAGCAAAAACTGAATATCATAGATGCCAGAGATCAAGCTAAAGGTGGAATGGAAGCTCTAATGCAAATTGGTCAGGAGAAAATTTTCCAAAAAGGATACTCAACGTTTAACCAATGGCTTACCTGAGGTATCCTTATCGGATACTCAGTCATCTTCAATTTTTTTGGATGGTATCCCTTTCACTCATCTGGTTTCAATATTTCCTATCGGTCTGTCTTGACCAATTCTTATTTTTTTCTTTTCCTTCAAAGCCCAACCTCATCAGTGTCGATTAACGGGAGCTTAGCCCTGTGCAGAGGCGAATCCAGGCAGGGGTAAAAGGCGTAATCACTGTCCTTCCCCCCAAGTCTCGTCGAAATATTTATAGTTACCATTTCTGTAATTCAATAGGTCTATTGGAAATATGTTCCTTCACTTTTTATATTCATTACCCCCCTGTAGCCATTACCCTGAATCCACTGCATCACTCAAATAGCTTTGGAGTGAAAAAATTGGAAAAAACATTGAGAATCCTCAAAAAATCGAAACTAATCAATTCTCCACCTCAATTTGAAACAATTATAACACGATGTTGAAAGGTAAACGAAGTCTATCTTGTCGGTTCCAGTTTAGGATAGGTCCATTCCAAACGTAATTCATGATTATTTTCACATTTATCAATGAAGTCAACCCTGGTAAGTAATTCTCGGTAATTCTCTAAACATCATCGAAGACGCAGATGTGACTGATATGGGTAGCATCATCTCTTGATGTAGAAGATAATCATAAAATCTTCAGAAAGTGACAATGAGATTCTGTTGAGTTCGATATAAGTGGCACTGAACATTATTCATCTGCAACTGGAGAAAAAGTTCTTCTCCTCCGTAATGAAGCCATCATTGAACCATTGTCTGGCTAAACTGCACTTGTAGCTCGACAAACATCTCCCACATTTTCAATGTTAATCTCATGATGTCAACTCACCCAAAAATTCGTTCGAATACTACATGGAACTGTAATTAACTCAGAGTAAACTGATGAAACATTCAACTTACCTTACTCTACTCGGAGAGTCAATAATCGAACGCAACCCAGGAGAAATAAGCGACACAACATGTCCTCATCTGTTTCAATTCCTGCGAATTGAGTTACACCAATGTTAATGTATCGAATAGGCATAGATCTAATTAGATCTATGGAATAGGTGAACGCATTTTAAGGTTATAGAGAATTCAATTATCAAATACTGAAAAGCAGAAACATAAAAGGTGCCCTAGAACGTTCAAATTCGAGACACTTGTGTAAAATCGGAAGAGAAACAATTCTTCTTCTTTCAATTTTGACATGTAAGCCTATCACAACAAATACTTTGAGAAATAGTTATTAATAAACAAGACACACAAAGTCATCTCCACAAATTTATTGACTGAGTAATCAATATCTGTACATGTTTCGGACTATCAATAGTCCATCATCAGCAGCATATTTTAATTGACAGTTTTCTACAAAGAAAGGTTTTTTATATAGTTACAAATGTTATGTATGTGAGTATACATAACCTAAACATAACATTTGTAACTATATAAAAAACCTTTCTTTGTAGAAAATTGTCAATTAAAATATGCTGCTGATGATGGACTATTGATAGTCCGAAACATGTACAGATACTGATTACTCAGTCAATAAATTTGTGGAGATGACTTTGTGTGTCTTGTTTATGAATCTATTCACTCCACTTTGAGATACCATGGACTTTTACCATAGATTAGTTATTAATTAATTATACAAAGGGAAGACAGATTTGAGCTCGAAGCCTAGCAAATAAAGTACATGTAAACATTTGTCCTATATAACTTGCTCCGTATTTGAGATACAGGATACAGGAGGTTGAAGTTGGAAGTATTAATTACTTTTATTCATACCACCGCTGTATAAGCTTTCATGTCGCCAAAATTCAGTTTACAGGGTGGAGACATTAATTGGAATAAATTCGCAACTGGGGAAGTGAATGATATTTTTGAAAATTCGCGAGACACGTCAACGTTTAAATGTATGCACCTACATTTTTCGCGCTCTATGGAGAATAAATCCCTTCAGGGGTAACTGAAATCAACCCCAACATGTTTTTTTTTTCAAATACAACCCTATGGCTTGCGACCCCTCGATGGAAAACTGGTTGAAAGAGGAATCAAGCGTACTGATCATATCTCAGTTTGCAGTACGTTTGGGGGTCGCATTGAATCGAAATATAATTTCGAAAATCAATACATTTTCAACATATTTCATCGAAATTTCGACTCTTGGTGACAGTGTTCTATAGGGTATTTCCACGAGTTTGCAATAACACTTCGTTACGAACTGTGAATACGGCAAAAAAACTTCATTTCTTTTTGCGGCTCTGTAAAAACTCGAGAATACAATTGCAGATAGCAGTTGTGGCAATAAATTGCCATCAATGGGGAAGACCACTGGTTTTGTGAAACGTAATTATCGTGAACTCTTTACTGAAAAACTATACCAGTGAATTAATTTTGAATTTTTTCATTCATGCTAAGACGATGAAAAAGATGAATTAGAATATGTCCATTTCAAAACACATAATCCCTGCGCCATTTGAAGTTTTGTCAATTCATTGGTGAGACTGGTGCGACGTCTTAGTCCCAACACGCCTTTTTTCCTTGAACTCACCAATCACACTGCAAACTGCAACACTGCAGAATGACGAGGTATCAGAGAGAGATAGCTACAGTGCGGGACTAATACGTCACGGCTCCACCATCATATTTGGCTTTTCGAAATAACGAATGGAATATGCTGATTTCAAAACGATATAGATTCGATTGCCTTCAACTTCAACTCATAATATTGATTATAGATCAAACGTAAATCATGATTCGTCGATTGAAAGAGGTTTGCACGGATTTCTTCCCTCAGTGGTCTTCCCCATTGGTCGACACACATTTTGAGCGATTGATACCTTCAACAAAAATTCAATTTTGAAATTATATCTTAATTTTATGCAATCTATAAACGTATGAAAAACTAAAATCTGACTAGTACGCTGGATTCCTCTTTTCACCAGCTTTCCAATGAAGGGTCACAAGCCATATGGTTACATTTGAAAAAATCATGTTGAGGGTGGTTTCAGCTACCATTTGAAGGATATATTCTCGATATTGCTTGCAAAAGGTGGGTAAATAAATTAAATCGTTGACGTATGTCAAGAATTTCTAGGAGAAATATTCACCTCCTTGCTAAGAGCCGGGATTGGCGCAGTGAAAGAGCGTCCGTCTCACGACCGCAAGGTCGTGGGTTCGATTCCCAGCACGAGCAAGGAACTTTTTTCAATATTTTATATACGTTTCATAGCATCGGCTGGCGATAGTCCTGCACGATTCGCTGTTGCGTTCCAATTAAAAGTGCTGCTCCTAAAGTGGAGCACGGAGTTAGTAACAAAGCCTACACAGAACACGCAGAAAGAGATGATGATGTGGTTGTGAGCATCAGAGAAGAAGTAGGACGGTGTATGTAGGTGGGTGTGGAAAACTACCAACTGAGCGTGAGATCGGGCCAGCTGCATAGTGGAACTCGGTGTCTAACGGGAGTTGACGAGGATAGCTAGCAGGCATGCGACTGCGCATATGGTAGTGAGTACATTACTAGCCTACAAAACACAGCCGAAAAACTCTTATAGAGAGCTGATGGGCGGTGCCTGAAAAGGATGTTAGCGAGCTCTCTTGAGCGAATCACATCAGTCATTGAAAACACTTGGGGTTTGCAAAAAGGTCCCAATAGGGACTAGTTGCTGACGTGCAAACGTCCCCCACCAGTACCAGTACCTCCCCGCTAACGAATTTATTCCAGTTAATAAAGTCTCCACACTGTAGTTGGAGACTGCGAAAACCCCACAATTTTTACATGATTATAATTGGGGTTATAGGGTAATCTCAATGGAAGTCTTGAAAACACCAACAACATTAAATTTGGAGTCGGATCGATTTTTTACTGTTTCCTCAAAAACTAAACTAGATACAAAAATCACAATGGGGATAAAGAAGTTGTTATTTTATTAGTTCGATCTAATATGAATATGAACCTCTGAAAAATCGCTGGCGTACAATGACATTCACCATGAATATGGATAAAATTACCCACTGTGACGCCACTGTTAATATTATTTCGAATCCAATTGCACCAGAGATGAAGCTCCATGTTACTTTTAACAGAGCCACAACGTTTTGTTGAAATTGATGAAGAGACAATATAGTAATGAATAAAAAAGTAATTTTCATGGAAATATTAATACCCTGTATCTCGAAAACGAAGCAAGTTAGGACAAAAGTTCATATAAACCTCATTTCTTCAAATATCACAAGAAATCACCCCTCGAAGTTTTTTGGTGTTATTCAGATACACCCTGGAAAAAAAGTACTCACAAAGTAATTTATAGAAAGTGACATTTTATAACCTGTCAACAGAGATGAAATGTCAAACCTTTTTTCCGTCACAGAAAAAAAATAATTTTCGACATGTAGAGACGTGACACCGACCAAGTAGGTTATTTTTTTTTTCAAATTTAATGCCAAGTCTAATTTCGAAATGAATTATCATCAAAAGTTTCTCCCATAATATTATCATGATTCCAACTTTATGAAAGACACTATAAGGTTGGCGCGCACCATATCTATTTTTCAATATCTCCTTCAAAATTCGATCTAAATATAATGTCTTAGTATTGGAATATATAATTTTTGGCAGATGATACAGTTGGTTCAAGTACAAAATAGTTAATGGCTCTGGTCTTGTCTGTCTATGCGGCAACGCTACGCGATAGTACAACTAATCGAACACGCTGTATTTATTCGTCTCACTTTCTCTCCATTGTACACTTCGCCAAACGTGGCCACGGTGTCATGGCAACGCATGCTGCCGAGTAAAACACTAGGGTCCGTTCCGAAGTTATGTCTTTTCACGGGAAATTATATTCAACTGCGTGCTCTCGACTTTGAAGTTGTACATTCTTTGAAGTTTATATTCACGGCGCGATATTTTCAGGAGTTTGAAGCAGAAACGAATGGAAGAAGTCTTGCACGATATACAGTTATATATTCGAGAGTATAGAATCATTCAATGCATTTTTACTCCTGAATGATGGAACGGTTTCATGATTCCTGGTGAATTTCACATTTTGATTCCTGATCGAGAGAAATGTGATGAATCTTAAAAGGCCCATTTAGATAATGTTCATAGTATATATTATATGATATATGACAAGAAATGATGATGAATTAGAAGATTCCTCTTAGATGCCGGACATAAGATAATCTAAAGAATTTATGAGACTTGTGTCAGATCATCATCTTCGATATCATAATATCTCTATCTTTGCATATGAGAAAAATAATATGCTGAATATACACGGTTAAAATTACCATTGAGTGAAGCTGTTCATCAGAATAGAAATGCACAATTATTTTCATCAATAACTCAAATTTTGTTAAATTTCAATCGAAATTATGTACATGATGATTGCTCAAACATTTTTCATACTTATTCAAAGTTATTTTGTGTCATTATAATTCAAAGGTTAACTATAAAATTGCTACACAATCCGGTGTGGACCTGATGGAGTTGAAATCAACTGGAAAATGTTTATCATGATGTATATATACGCTCCAACCATCACAGATGTTATAATGATAAAATATTGAAATATATTAGTTTTCTTGTACGAAGGTAAGAATAGGATACATTTTTCTAAACCAAGATAAATTTTCGAAATGCTTTAACTTGCCCTTGAACCTCCAATAACGAACTCTTTTTCGAGTCATTGGTGTTGCTGGGTGTTAAGGGTTTGTTTGACTGGCAAAAGTGCTCCCACCAAGTATGAAATTCGACGGTTCTTGGCGATTTCTGATCGAGGATTCGGTTTTCTAGTTGTAGGGAAGGTCAAGTTAACGTTGGTAGCCCATGTGTTCGTGAATAATTAATATCATTACGATACTGTAACCTATCGAATTCTTTGCTCCTGTGTAACTATGATATTCTGGTTCCATGAGGTATATATAAATAAATATATTGTTACTACCACATCTCTTTCAAGATGAAGGATTGCCTTACTCAAATCTATTATTATCACTGAATATTATCGAATAGATTATGAATTTGTATAATAAGGTACCAATACATTGAAGAGAGACAATTTTTCAGGTCGAAAATAGCATAAATAATTCTGTCTTCTGAGGCTGGTAGAATTAAATGAATTTTCTGATGTATCAATGGTATAAACCGAAACAAATCTAACATTTTCTTTCAAAATCAATCAGTTATCATATGATTATTTATTTCAGGAAGCCGATGGACAAAAGACTAATAACGGCATCCAGTACAGGCTACAACTTCTTTTCGCAAATGGTGAGTAGTGTAATCCAATGATAACAGTTGATAAAATTAACTACTGATTATAATATATATATTGGAGCTTGTATGTACTTCAAAACAATTTGAATACTGAATATATCACTATTAAGAGTATTTATAGATGGAAATATACCCAGGTTTGAAGTTGATAACATCGAACGAGTCTAATGCTCAATGTACGCGACGCAGCGAAGAGTATAAACTTGAAATAAAAGCACTTTTTACTCTAGACTCTTTAAGGATTCCCTCCCATTATTTCTTCAAGTGATTGTTTGAAGAAGACGGATAACAATTATTCTTGGAGGAACGAATATCTGCTCCTATTTTCCTGATACTGTTCAGTAACAGAAGTTATGTATGAGTTATTTAAATTGACCATCTCTGATCTTGGTAGTGAATCGCATTATTTTTCTTTATGTCAACTGAGCAAGAAGCAATGTAATTGATTTTGTCTGTTCGAAAAGATGGAAGCGGATTCTTCGATTTTTTTCTTCGAACATTCATAGAAAAATAATGTCTGTTTTCTTTATGATTTTAATATATTAGTTCTTCATAATTTCACTCAGCCATATGTTGAATATCCATTTTCAGCAAGGATATGTTCAGCTTATTCTGATTTGCCGATATGTCCTTCCTGACGTTCTTTCATCATTCATCTCGTCATTTATATTTCTGGTTTATAAATTCATGATATAGTTTGTCAAGAAGGAGTCCAGTTGAAGAATGTTTTTGATGTGGTGTATTGAAGTTTGTTGGTCACAGATGATTCGGCTCAATCATGAAGAGGATTGATTCTTTTTGATAGTCTTTCGGTGATTTAATCGAAAGTTGAGGTATCTGTTAGTACAGATAACATCATTTGATGAACAATTCATCAGTTTGTCTCATTCTTTGGAGCGCCCCACCAAACAAAATCCCTTTTAAAATCGTGGAATACTGTGCCTATCTATAGGAAGGAAAAGGAGGAAACCTAGTAATAAAAAATGTTCATGGAAATTTTCTTGAAAATACTTGCCGTTCTATGGAGTTCTGGTAGAGAAATTGAGCTGTATAAAGTTTTTCTGTCTCGAATTACTACTGAAGAGACATTTTTTCGTGAAAGTATCTTCAGAGAATCGGAAAGTCGTCGAGTTTTCTGCAGTGTTCCAATGGTGTCAAGAAATGAGTGAATGTATATCGCGCATCGCCTTTTTCAGAGGAAATACTAGCTTGAATTTCAGTGGCATTGAAATCAACCCTATTCTGAAATATCAGCTATAAGCAAATCTCCACTTAGAAAACACGCTATGGAGAGTATATTGTCATCCACACCGCTGTGTGGATATGGCAGGTAGTAACGCTCAACAAATCGTTGATATACAGGGTGATTCAAAAGTAAGCGGCATCCTTTCAGAGGCGTATTCCTTGCATGAAAATAAGGCAAAAAGTTCCTATTGATAAGGATCCGAAAATGCTTCCTAAGGGAGCTACGGCCCTTTGAATAGGACACCTCAAAGACGGTTTTTTCTCTATAACTTTAAAATCCTTCACAACAAATTTTTAAAAATTGGTGTACGGCATAAACATTCGATGGTAAATAGGACTCCGTATTCGAAATAATTTCCAAACGAAATCACAGTAACCTGAATATCCGGAGAAGAAGGGATATTTTTACACTTACCCTCTCCCGCATGTGACGCCCCTGAATGAAATTCTGAAATTTCGAATACGGAGTCCTATTTACCATCGAATGTTTATGCCGTACACCAATTTTTAAAAATTTGTTGTGAAGGATTTTAAAGTTATAGAGAAAAAACCGTCTTTGAGGTGTCCTATTCAAAGGGCCGTAGCTCCCTTAGGAAGCATTTTCGGATCCTTATCAATAGGAACTTTTTGCCTTATTTTCAAGCAAGGAATACGCCTCTGAAAGGATGCCGCTTACTTTTGAATCACCCTGTATATGGAGTTGAAACGACGTCTGTGCCAAGATGGTTACTTGGAGGACACCAAAATTGAGGACTGTGGTATCAGAAACTATGTCGAACACCACATGAAGCGATCTACCTGAAAGAGGACTTATTAGAAGAAGAAGAAGACAAAGTTGAGGTAGTGAGCCTCCTGATAGTTTCTGGCAGTCCTTGGTCTCATACACGTTCTAATGCTTGTTATTTATCCATGCACAGCACCATAGCTACAGATTCACTATTTTCAATTCTCCATTTGGATAAGTCAGTATTCGCTCATCAGCACGAGATTGAATAATTTACCTATGAAATCATATGTATACAGCAGGTTATGTTTATTATAAACATTCCGTAGATAGTTATCTGGTTTTTTCCACCATGTATGGCAAGCCACAGGCCAGGCGGAAGTAGAAACTAGAGTGAAACTTCAGAAACCGCAAATTCCTCAAGTTTATACCACCTTCCATCGTCGCAGGACCCCACTCTGTGGTTTCTTCGAGAGTTTACACTTCCTAGTATTCAAACAACCATGCAGAAGAAAAATGTTCCGTGCATGAAGTGGGATGATTAGTAACTTGGAGATATGTTGAAAAATATGAATAAGACATCTTGCGCCCCTCATCTTCTTCGCTTCTCCAAACGTTAAGATAATGATAACATGGTTTATGACACTTCAAACCATTCGGTTAACTGGGGAACAGATACGCGATAACAGCAAACATTGATCAGTGGTGTAGTATAAACGAAATGGATAAATATAGGTTCACTGTGACTCTCGTAATATTACATCGAATGGAAACATGATTTGTATTCATCAGGGTTCATCATTAGGCGAAGAGACATAATATACGCAACCCACAGCCCAGCAAAATCCTTAGCCTTGTGACAAAAACAGAGTATTTTGAAACCAGGAAAGGCTACAGCCGATCACTAGACACATACGAAGGAACATACTTACCATGCTTAAATAAGCTCATTAGAAAAACATGAGGAGTCTCTAGCTGTAGCGTTAGGTATATCGGAAGCATTCGACGGTGTTCGGCATCACCTCAGCAGTTTCTCCTTTTATCAAGTTCTTCCCGCTTGATGTGGACGAAGAACTGTCTCATATACCATTGTCCTAATATACGACGTCCCACAGGAATCAATTTCGTCTCCAACATCGTCACTCCTTTATATCAATGATGTCTTGGGAATCACCACCTACCCCATTCACTTGCTTAGCAGATTACAAAATACTCCATACTGCGAAGGGCTCACGCCGAAGGCAGATATGGTGTCAAAAAATTCTTGCTAAAACTTCAGCCTAGAGAACCAACAATCTAGTTCAATTTTACTTGACTGATACTATTAAACACCTCAACAGCTTCTCATAAGTTACAAAGCACAGATGCAGTTCTAGAATACTGTTCCCATATTATTTGGTGGTCCGCTCCCAAATATACACCTATGCCTTTATAGATATCCAGAGACGAGCCACTTACCTGGTGAGGGATCCAATACTCACTAATTTATCAACATCATTGGGAAGCCGTAGAAAGGTCGGCGCCCATTCCTTTCCTAGAGATTCTTCCACGGGATATGATTTTCGTCGGCAACCTCCAGATATTTCGAACGACTCACTTTACCAGAACTCGATTTGCTATAGAACAGTCAATCCCCGAGAAATCATGACCTTACTTACACATTCTTCCTATACAGAGTGTTCCTTAATGATATGCTGATATTCAAGGGGCCGATTATTCGACCCATTTTAAGAATCAAACTTCGTATGAACGTATCTCGTAAACGGCCTAACTTTAGGGTGTTAATGTTGAAAATATGCATAGCTTCTTTTTATGTCCACCCTGTATCTTCTCGTGATGGCGAGATTTGTTCTGCTATGTAACTGAATCGGTATAAAAATTTCAAAATGTTACATTCTGTGGTCGGTTATCCAGTAATGGATGTCCTGGATGGACTACTCAGACATCAAAATATAAAGTCTGGTCCCGTTTTCCCGTTTTTTCTCTAACACGACCCGTTTCATTGAATATCAACAAGATGATCTGTTCTGTACATATTCGAATAGCATTTTATAGCATTGTACAAAATATGAAATTATTCTGTCGTTGCTCACTTTTGAGTAGAATATAAACAATAATATTTCCGTAACGGTGCCACTGGTAGAGAAAATGAAAATTGTTGTACATCAGAAAATGCACCTTGATGCATAACTGACGTGAACCAAATTTCATGAAGATGTAAGCATAAAATATTGTCTCACTTATTATATAAAATAACATATTTTTCCAAAACTTCATCACCCTGTATCTCAAAAGTCAAGCCTTTCAAGACATACGTTCATATGGAGATTTCTTCTTAAAATAAGTCAAATAATCACCCCCCCTCCCCAAATATTAACAACATTATTCCTTCTTCATATCAATGATCTGTTGGGAGTAACAACTTGCAGATGATAGTAGCCTCCATACTGCGTTCTCTTTCAGAATTCCCATTTCTTCCCAGGAAACTGAGAACTCACGGCGCAGGCAGGTCAATGCTGTCAATGGAGATCTTGCTGAAATCACAGCCTGGGGAACCAAAAACCTAGATGAATTCAACGTCACCACAACTTAAGCCTGTATTTTCTTTAGAAAGGTGGGAGTCAGTATGCCCGACATTGTAGTGTCTAGCACCACCATCCCCACTAAGCTCATCATATCTATGCTCGGTATTTCCATCAGCAAAACTATTTCATGGGATAATCATGTCAGATCCATCGCAAAAGCTGCTTCACAAAAACTCGGATTCTTGTTCCGTGTGAAAAGCTACTTTACACCTCAACAGCTTCTCATTATCTACAAAGCGCAGATACGGCCTGTTCTAGAATACTGTTCCCACTTATGGGGTTCAACACCAAAATATACGCTGATGCTCTCAGATTCCATCCAGAGAAGAGCCATTCGCCTGTTGGGTGACTCATTCACTCTTTGACATCATTGGAACACCGTAGAAAAGTCGGCGACCTTTCACTTTTCTAACGATACTTCCACGGGAAATGTTCTTCGG